ATGTGAGATGAACCGTTAGACTCTTTGGTTTTTGAAAATTTAGATGTAGGCCTTACTAAAACCTGCTGCCTGTTAGACTGCGACAAATTTCCGATGCGCATGAGTATTGTGCCTTTCATGTCAACCAGTCTTACCGTTGGCATACTACATGAAGAGATGGAAAGGTTGTTGCAGGGAGAATCAGGCAGTGATAGTTATATTTATGCATAAGAGCCATAAAGTTCAGAAGACAAAGGTTCAACATTGTCAATTACTGAATCATCAGTCATACGGGTTACAGATTTTGACCTTTTAGTTGGCTAAGAAGTTGGTGAAATTTCTATTTTGCTGAAGTTATTTGCCATAATTTGAAACTCAGTGAGTATAGAGCTCGGTTAATTAACCAGAATATCTGAGTGTATAGTTATTATTAAGTATTAACCGAGTTAATACTATGAGTATATAATGTATTTCAAATATAAGGTGTTCATTTATAATGTAATAGAGTAACGATCAGTGGAATATCTGCATTTCAATTCTTATAATCCAAAGATAAAGACGCGTCAATGTGAATTACTGGGGGCATATATAAGATATGTAGGAAACGAAGTCCGCGATAAGTACGTAGTAACCGTGAGTGTCCGTCAGAACGAACGAATTCCATTTAGCTTTCATCAACAGGTTCCAAGCCCTGCAGAGTTCTTTGAAAGGGGAAACTACTATGGAGGACAACTGCAAAGGAATCAAAAAAGCACTAACTCCAACGTCTCGGGAGGTTCTGGGTCACGAGAAGCATCATCATAAGGAATGAGTCCCCATCGAAGCCTTAGACAAGATTTATGAAAGAAAAGATATGACGGCAACTAACAACAGTCAAACGAGAACAGAGAAAGTCAAAACACAAGCTGAATGCACAGAAGTAAACAAGTGAGTGAAAAAGAGTGTCAGAATTGACAAGGGGAAATACATGGAAGAGCTAGAAACAACACCAGAATAAGCGTCAACAGAAGGAAATATCAGACACGTTTATGATGCAACGAAGAAACTAGCAGGAAAATATTGTAAACCAGAGAAACCGGTTAAGTACAAAGAATGCAAACCAACCACCGAGACCATGAACAGATGGGTAGAACACTTTGAGGAACTCTTGAATAGACCAGTCCCAGTGAATTTACCATGAATCAAAGCAGCATACATAGATATTCCCACAGACAAGAGTTCACCAACGATCAAAGAAATCAGAATGGGCATCAGACAAATGAAGAGTGGGAAAGAAGTAGGACCTGACAACATACCAACTGAAGCACTAAAGTCAGACAAAGAAGCAACTGCCAGCATGCTCTACACTCTATTCAGGAAGATTTGGGAGGAAGAACATGTGCCGACGGACTGAAGAGAAAGACACTTCATCAAGATACCAAAAAGAAGAGATCCGAGTAAATGTGAGAACTACAGAGGAATCACACTGCTATCGGTACCAGGGAAAGATTTCAACAGTGTTGCTGAACCGGATGATAGACTCAGTAGACGCCCAGCTTCGAGATCAACAGGCCGGATTCTGTAAGGATCGGTCATGTACAGACCAAACCGCGACACTACAGATTATCGTTGGATAATCAAATTGGATGAAACTCGTCACCATACATCAGCTTCCTTGATTATGAGAAAGCGGTTGACAGTGTGCATAGGAGAGCCTTATGAAACCTTCTTCGACACTGTCGTGTACCTGAGAAGATCGCCAACATAATCCGGAGTTCATACAACGGACTACACTACAAAGTGGTGCATGGAGGACAACTGACAGACGCATTCCAAATGAGGACCGGAGTCAGAAAAGGCTACTTACCTTTTTATTGGCCCGAGATCTGACTCCGGTTAGACCGTATGATTTATTGTTATTGAAATATATATTCCGCCAAATCCTAGTGTAAAATTATCGACTTAACTCGCGTTACTGAATAATGGAATTAAATAAGTCAAATACGAGAAGCGAGAGCAGCGAAAGGAAATGGCTCGCAGTGGAGAAGCACGTAAGCCAACCCAATTTAACCAAGCGTGAATCAATATGTATAGCCGAACAAAATGAGTTACAGGCATCTAATGAACAAGATAAGAAGTACACACATATACTTACATAAACAATTAAGGTTGATAAGCTAATAATTAACAAGGTAAAACGTGACTCGAGAAGCATGAATAGATTGGCCTGTCCGGAATCTATAATAGGCTATGTGGGCTTGACATAGCACTACATATCCTCCTTGTAGAAAATAGAACATTTAAATGAAAAAATGTCTGTTTTCCAAAATAACACTGAAGGGGTGTGTAGTTAACATTAACAGCAAGTAGCGAAGAAACCGTATTTCCTTGGTAAAGTACAGTGACACGTGAGGGGTGAGTGTATAGTACAAATAGTCCATTTTAATAAAACCATACATCGACAGTTATGGTTCGTTGAGAAACAAATGTTACACAAAGTTCGTGAGGCTTCTACCTCTTTTAAATATCGAATAAATGAAGTAACTAAAATTTACTCTTGTTGATATGATGGTTATTTATTTTTAAAGTAGTTAGCTGAGATGGTATGACTATAGCTAACTGATCAGAAAAAATTGTCGATCAATGATGATTATGAAGCTTACCAACAAAGTATCATTTTCGCTTCGAATATGTTACTAAAATTTTACATTCTTCTTTACATAGACAATTGTTCAAGATCAAGTTAACAAAGAAAGTAATATTCTTCATCGAAGGAAAAGTAACAGTATTATGTTTTTACTGATGGTATAATTTTTGGGGATTCAATGAATGTGAGAAATTGTTAGGTCCCGAGACACATATTGAATGGTAACTTTTGGATCCTTTTATGGACCAATACTAAACGTATATTTTTATCGTGTAACTGTTAAATAACTAAACTATTCATATTATAAACTTTATTTTGACCTATGAACCATTATTACACGTTTTACCATTCTTGAATTATGCCCTGTCTATTAGTCACTACCTCCCACAGTCACAGCTACATTTGGCCAAATTTTGTACAAATGTTATTTTCTATTTTATGCTACGTTGTGGTCGGTTTGATCGGTATATAAACTCAGTATGTCTGAAATATAAGGATTCATATTGCAGAGGCTGAGACTAGTGTTCTGGACTTAACTGGCTGGGCTAGGCGGAAAGCAGGACTCTAGGCTGCTCGCACGTGTGTTACGTGTCCTTGGTCCGATCGATAATTCGCTGCTTCTGATTGGCAGCTATGGGCTATAACAAAAATGTATTCGATCTATCTTGAAAACTGGATCAAACTATAAGATTTCATTTCTCAATGGTTTCTTCGTAAAGAGATTTATCCGCATAATCTAACTCCAGTCGACCAGATAATGAACTTCTAGTTTTCTCCCTTTGGACAAAGGTTGAATCTAGTTCCTTTCTTTTCCACGGAGATTTTGAAAAGTATTCACAGAGGACTGTATAGACGAGTAATTGTGGTTTGCGAAATTGACTTATACACATACTTCTTCCCCAAGCGAATTGAAAATGTCTTAAATGTTATCAGACTGACTCGGAAAACGTACCAATGTTAGATACAAGCATGACATTTCAAAATAGGTCCTTGAAAACTCTTTAGAAGATCGATCAACGAAGCAAACATTCTAAGCGTCTTAAACGAAGTATTTATTTGAACGAGAGAAAAGCAGCTTACAGAAAATCTCGATTTGTATACAGTAGCTTCCAACCTCGAAAATAGCCACACATAATGTCCGCATGTAAAGACTAACTGACATTTTTTAGAACACGTTCCAGTTTCATTCGGTAGAACAGAAGGAATAAACGTAAAACCATTCGTTTTGTAACATGTAGCTGATCGTGACTTACCTTCAGATACATAGTTTGATGTTATCTTTAAACTTACATTTAATGCATTGAAAGGTGTCCATTTGCATCTCCATTGAATGGCATAAGCATTAACAATGCCCTATCTCAAGTCATAGTGTTGTGAACGAGGACACAGGCGTAAGTAAAACCTCGGTGCCTATAATTTAAATAAAGAATGGACTATAAATATCTCTAAACTCTGATAACCGAGTTGGCTAATAAAGGCTGCTGTGGATATTCAGAGTAATAACTTTAATCAATTCGAAGCCGTGTTTCTCATTCTAACCAACATTAGAATTCATGTTTAGCTTCCGTGTGCTGACGTCAGCCTGGATCGAATGTGTAGGTTATTTTCCGCGCACAAGATGCCACCTACCATATGACAATATCATCTGCACATTGTGAGACAATCAAATGTACTTACCTACTTGCGCCAGTTACCCCTCATGGAGGAGCATAGGCCGCTGCTGGTCAACAGCATTACCCATCCATCTCTGTCTTGAGCAATCCTTTCCAGTTGTTATTCACCCTTTTCATGTCTGCTTCCAATTCTCAGTGCACTATGCTCTTTGTTCTTCTACCTTTCCGTTACCCTGCACGATTCCAAGTTAGCACTTGCCTCATGATACAGCTCGGTGATTTCTGTAATGTATGTTCCATCAAATTCCAGCATCTTTTCCTAATTTCCTCTTTAACTGGAAGCTTGTTTGTTCTCTCCCACAATAAACTGTTGCTCATGGGATCCAGACAACGAAAATTCAGTATCTTGACTAAACAACTATTCATAATTACTTGTATCTTTTGATGCTGGTTGTAGTAGTTCTGCAAGTTTCAGGTCCGTGCAGTAGAACTGTCTTGACGTTCGTATTGAAGATTCTGACTTTGATACTGGTCGAGTTTTTTTTAGTTCTATATATTCTTCATCTGTAGGAATGCATCCATTGCTTTGCAAACCCTTGTTGGGAAAGCGTCTTATTTAGAAATATGAACATGAAGTCCTGATATTTGGAAACCGAATTTTGTTGTTTTGCATGATACAGTTCATTCTCGTGACCTACTTTCTGATTGGCCAGTATTTGATTGGTTGATCTCAAGGTCTTACTTGAACTATCCAAGTTTGTTTGACTTAGTTCTACTGGATAGCTGCGTGTGAATCTGGATTCACTGTAAACTAGGTTTACTACAATATTGCTTGTGTTTTTAGCTTGTATCTTCATAGTTGACGGTACTATGTTATATGGACCAACTTCATGCGAGTTTATGTGACCTTGTGGATGTCCACCTACATTTGGGGTTATATATATAACAAACTTTATATGAAGTTTGTAAATTAGTGTGAGGAGTTAGGAATAAGATTTACATCTAGACGGTGAGGTTACGAAATTAGGCTAGGGTTTTCACCACGAATTCACATCAGATAGAATACCGAAATTCTATCTAACAGTTTTGCTGAGTTCATTTTGCGCTAGAATCTATGAATTATAATCTCACTATTAAATTATACATAAATCCGATCGCTTGAGTTTTATTTCACTGTTGTTTTGTCATTTGTTTTCTCTTCCAGTTTGTTTCCACTTCAAAAATGTTAGCGGGTTTGTTTAGTAATTTGATACGTAAGCCTGAAGTTCTGTGTCGAAAATCAATTTTTCATTTTGTGAATGTTCGAAAATGTCCATATAGCACTGAACAAGATGATATACCGTTTCATCTCATGGTTGAAGGTTATTATGACAAGGCTTCAGCCCTTGTTGAACAAAATTTGATGTCAAAACTTCAATCAAAAGCGCCAGATAATGAAAAAACAAAGATTGTTAAAGGAACCCTTAACATAATTCGGCCACCTACTCACATTTTCGAGGTTAACTTTCCCCATAAAGCCGATGACGGAACGTTCAAGATCATTCAGGGCTTTAGAGCTCAACATAGTGTGCACAGGCGACCCACTAAGGGTGGCATTCGGTATAGTATGGATGTATGCAGAGAAGAAGTTATGGCTCTTGCTGCTCTGATGACCTACAAATGTGCTGTCGTAGATGTTCCGTTTGGTGGTGCCAAGGGGGGAATTAAGATAAATCCTAAAGACCACTCTCCGGCAGAATTAGAAAGGATAACCCGTCGGTTTGCACTAGAGTTGGCAAAACAAGGATTTCTTGGTTAGTTCGTATAAATTCATGTAGGTCTTCAGGTCCTGGAACTGATGTTCCTGCTCCGGATATGGGGACTGGACCCCGGGAGATGAGCTGGATTGCGGATACGTATGCAAACACCGTAGGTACGTTCAAATTAATCATTAACTAGTGTTTTGCGCATTATTGGTAAGTTCATATTAGTTTGTTTAGACACATCTTTTCTGTTCTTTCCAGGTTTCAAACATATTACTTCTAACATTTTTGGAACTTCATTGCTTTTTTGTAGGACATAACGATATGCACAGTCATGCTTGTGTAACAGGAAAGTCTATCGCTATGGGTGGTATTCACGGTCGCATTTCTGCAACAGGACGCGTAAGTTATCGTCTGATAATCACTTCCACCTGTTGACCGTACTAATTTTACACAAATATTAACTTCGCAACCGAAAAACTCGTAAACGTTTTTGTTGTAGCAGTAACTTGCAAGCTCTTTTTTGTTTTATATTGCAATATCAGTGACCATACATTTGGGTTGATTATGAACTTCCATGTTCAACGTTTTATTGTTAACTGCTGCATTTTTGTTGTTGATAACTTTAACTTTTCAGGGGGTCTATCATGGGATAGACAACTTCTTAAATAACCCAAAATATGCAGATGCTATCGGTTTATCCCCGGGGCTGAAGGATAAAACTTTCATTGTTCAGGGATTCGGGAATGTTGGTTTGCATACAATGCGTTATCTTGTACGAGCTGGTGCAAAATGTATCGGTATTGCTGAAATCGACGGACAGATTTACAACGCAGATGGTATAGACCCACGAGAACTCGAAGATTGGCAAATTGTAAGTTTTATTGTCTTATTTTTTGGTATCCTGTTGTAACAGACGTTTTGTCTACTAATTCCTGAAGTTTACCTTTTGAAAGTTTTCTCTGAAGCGATTTTGTTTGACCAGTGGTTTCGTAATTTTGAACATGAGTTACTCATCTAAGGGTCTGCAGTTCATTGTTACTTGTGGCGTCCATTGATCGAATATTTAAATTTTTAATTCTAGGGTTTATTCGTGTTCATTATCATGATGCTTCATCTATGCAGTTTCCTTTACTGGCAACATAGTGTATGAAATACAGATAGTAAAACTGTTTTTTGTGTACTACTCGAATATGCTAAACGAGCATGTGGCTCATCACTCGTTATAGCTATGTAACGCCTCCAAATACCCTGGTATGGCTGAGGGTGTGGATAGTTTACTCTTCCTTTCAAAATGCTCTCATATGGTTATGCCTATATAACCAGTACCAGGGAAGTTCTACTCACTGAAATTGCTATGGGACTGTTTTTAAGAAAACCACCTACTTCGGTATAGGCGCCCAAGTAGTATCCCAATCCACACGAACTAAGTAACGACTGCATCTAGATAAACTATTTATGCTTTTACTCCCATCCTCGCAAATCATACTGGAAACTAATTGTAATTAGTCATTTTTACATTGAACCACTTGTCTATCCCTTCAATCACACTTTGTGTATTCCTTTATCCTTCAACTCATGTAGCAGCTCACCTGTGGTAGAAATCCTGTCCTATTTAAACGATCTCAAGTCACTGACTGGTCAAGGGTTAAGCGCTAGCACCGAACACAAGTTCTGAACCAGCCTTTCTGAATCCACCTATGCCACCCTAACTAGCCTCCTTCAAAAAGCACACACTAATCCAGATCGGACAACAGATAGGGTTGGCTATGTCTTCAGAAGGTTTCAACATCGATGTCTGTTGTCTATCCGATATCTGTATTCAAGACTCTAGTGAAGAACTGTAAATTGGCTCTCCATCTGTTGCTTCAAAAGCTTGTTTCGTGTGTGGTTATCCAGGGACCCTGTGACGTCTTCGTCCGGTTTATGTAGCGTTGGCGTTGCACTAAGAGCCAGAATATAAGCAGGACTAATCTATGAGGTCCCAATCAACGGTCGATTATTTACTACTAAGTAAGAATGCCTCATCAATTTGGGAAGAAATCGATGTGGGAAACGATGACTTTTCTTGATCTCCGCCTATGCCCCAACAAATTGCCTGGATTCTATCAAGGATGAGTCCTACCACCAGTTAAGTGGTCTCCGGAAAGTGCGTCCAACAGATATTGTGGTACTAGCCGGAGATTCGAATGTGCAGATCGGGCGTCTAGAGACCGAGCGGATCCGTTTAAGTAGCCAATGGGAACTCGTCGGTTGCAGGTCAGATAACGGTGAGCGTCTACTGGAACTTTGCACAGACTACAGACTGTTTCTGATTAGGACTAACTGCCGGTACAGTAATCGCCGATGTACCACCTGGTGTCCTAACTCTGCATTCAAGCCTGGACTCAGATTGATCACATCACGTTCAGTTGGCGTGGTTGTGTACAAGACTGATCATACCCTTGTTTGCGCAAGAAGCAGGCTAGATTTCGATCTGCTCGAAGATATATTTATCATATCTTCACCCCCTGTTAAATGTCAGAACGCCGCCAAACTTATCTCAGGTCAACAATCATTGTGTTCTTCGACATCAGGGTCGCCTTCGATCCATTGAACTAAACTGTTCTCTAAGATTGTCTGTTGAAGAAGGGTGTACCTGAGAAGAGTATTAACATCTTTAAGGTCCTATATGCAAACACTTCAAAGAGAATGAAAGCATACAACCACCTCTCCATTGTGTATTCAAGCAGTAGGGTTAGACAGGGTTACCGAATCTCATCATTCCTTTCCAATTTCCCATGGATGACGTTTAAGATGCACCCATGATGGGTGTAGATAATTGTGATGTGGTTGTTATCTGGAGAAAGACTTTTCTATCTTGAGTATGCGGATGATATTATCTTGCTGTACGATGATACCCAAGTCATGCAATCTGCACATAATCAGTGTCCGTATGTATAGCGTGTACTTTCCATCTTCTAAGTGCATAGTACTTGTACAGGACTGGGAGAATCCTGAACTTGAGTTCACTCTTGGTAGGGAACAGATAGAAGTAGTCGAGTTCATGTATCTGGGTAGCTGCATAAATGCTGGTACCTGCTTCGGTCTGGGCACCCGGGCAGTATCATAGCCCTCACACAAATCGAATGATTTATGTGGCGCATATCTACTTGGTGCCTCCTTGTATCAATGTTTATGTGTTTAAATAAATAAAATAATAAATGCTGGTAGTGACATGAATGACGAAATCAGTTCACGTATAGGGAAGGCCAGAGCAGTTTATGCCAATTTGGGCCATTTATGATGTTAGTGTGACTGTAAAGGGTTGGATCTGTAATGCGTCGATGAGAGCAATTATATGGTATGGTTATGAAACCTGATCTCGAAGTTGAGGATGTTAAACGACTCTGTGTTTGATCGTCGTTGTCTTTGGAAGTTTGCTGACATCCAGTGACACGCCATGTTAGTAGCGCAGAGGTTCATCAACGTGTATTTTGGCACAGCGATGATAACTCATTTGATGTGACCATTTCGAATCACTGACTTCGGTGAATTGTACATGTGCTACGAATTTTGTCTCAGCAAATTCCACATCGTGTATTATTTGCTGACGCAAGGACTGATTGGAAAATGCGAAGGTGTTGTTGGTTTTTGACGTAGTACTGGGGTACGAAAGAAAGCTGTATAGGACCGGCATCCGTTGTTTCTTCACGATTCTGTTCAAAGTCCTTGAGGCGATACGACACGGTGTTCAGAGTAGAATCCAGTAGCGATCATTCTGTAGCTCTTACTTTCTTCATATAAGTAAGAGGAACTCCCTAATTGAATCCTCTGTGTGGTTGTATTTTGCCTAACTGAACTGCTCCTATTATTATTATTATTATTATTATTATTATTATTATTATTATTATTATTATTATTATTATTATTGTTTCACCCTCATGCATTAATTTCTATTCACTGTTGTTCTTTTTTATTATACTCATCGTTTCTCTATCTCTTCACAATCTGATACTTATTGTGTGCCACATGTATGTTTTTGGTCCCTCTTTGTATTAGTGTTTATGTGTTTAAATAAACAAATAAATAAAATAGATGTAATATACTATTACCTAGGTGCCAATTCGAAAATAGGTGATTGCGTCGATAGATTATGACACAGTTCATACTTCAAATTTCCACTTCATGAGATAACCTTGGCTATGTATGAAGTTTCGACACGTGACTAATCCGCTTGTGTCGGTAAGAACTTACTGAACTCTAGCGATATAGTCAACTCATTCGTTGACCAGACACTTGGGTAAGAGCGATACTTAAGATGTTTTGAATAGTGATTATTCCCGGTTGCTCAAACCGAAGCAGGTAGGTGGGTTTCCAAATGTGGGACTTAGTGATGGAAAGCTGAACGTCCTTATTAATAAACCACCACTCAACAGAACGAAATGCAATTGTAATCTGAGTTTACATCTATGGGAATCTCATTCATAATTTGCATTACTTCATATAACGTGTCGTAATATTCCACAACAAACTTTTCCCATCATTTAAATAGTTTCTGTATAAGTAGTAAATACCTTTAGTAGCTATTATTTTAGGGACCCTATTTTTGATACTACTGGAATTCACGTAACGTCGATATATGCGTTCGTTGTACTCTTAGCATATTACATATAGTCATAAGTAGTTCACAAATATAAGCACCAAAGAGTCATCTGCATACGACTCACGTTTTTTCTCCTCAAAATAAAGTCTAAAGCGCCAGCTCTTTCGGATTGATAAGTAGGATATTTTCATGGGTTTGTAAATTGCATTTTTTAAAATTTAGTAATCAGTATACATCTGTCTAATTTGTTTATCACATTGATTCAGCACTAGTTACTGTCTTGCCTGTTGTCTATACTGAACATCTGTAGGTATCGTCTAAACTTCTGTCATTTCATTTTATTTGCTTTTGTTATGAATCAGTTTTCTGATTGATACGTATTTTACGTGTTACTTAAAACTTTCTAGACATCTATCTCGATACCAGTGGCGGAGGTTGCTCCAGTGTAATAAGGAGAATTTGTGTTTCGTGAAAGCGGCAAACTGGCTTCTTCACTACGAAGAACGATATAAAATTCCATCTCCGTTTCATACTTTGACCAAACTCAGCATTAAAAATCTAGCTGCCCTTAAGGCATTATATATTTGGTTCCCTCTTGTACCAACATTTATGTGTTCAAATAAATAAATAATAATAAGGCATGATACCCCGTCTAAAAAAATATGTAAGTGACTTGCTCTTCGAAGAAGTCTAGCTTCTGTTAATTACAGTATTAGTTTTCACTATTTTTGGGCGTGCTATATTTGTTTTATCAAAACTTCTGTTTTATTACTTAACGATAGGCAAATGGTACGATTGTTGGCTTTCCACATGCAAAACCATATACAAAAGGTTCTCTTCTTTTCGAAGAATGTGATATCCTTATTCCTGCGGCAAATGAAAAACAAATCCATAGTGGCAACGCTGATAAGATCAGAGCAAAATTAATTGGGGAGGGTGCAAATGGTCCCACCACACCAAAAGCTGATAAAGTTAGTTTTTTTTGCGAGCTTATTTGTTGTTTCATAAACAAACTTCCGTCTAGATACAGAATTAATCATTTGGCAACTAATTCACTAAATATGGTGCTCATATTTCATGGCGTTTTTTATAAAGTTCATAAATTACATTTTCGCCATCCCACAAATCACAGTTTTGTTAGCTAGTCCACTGTATTCACTAATTCTCTTACTTCGTTTGCTAGATTTGAATTTCTTGGTTGGCGGTATGCCAAATCATAGATTTAAGTTCAGTTCAACTGTAGATATTTCGTATTTAATTCCATTCCAGATACTGCGGGAGAAGAATAAGCTGGTTATTCCAGATTTGTATCTGAATGCTGGTGGTGTTACTGTCTCGTATTTTGAATGGCTTAAAAATTTAAATCACGTGAGCTATGGTCGACTAACCTTTAAGTACGAACGAGATTCCAACTATCAGTTACTAAGTAAGTTATTTCATCTTCATAAATCGAAAACATAAGTACTATTTTTAAAGTATATTTTACGTTAATTAACTATTAAAAGGAGTAATATGGTCCTTTTACGTCATAATCTACCTTGAATTAATACTTCTCGTACCTAATACTCATTGGGTTGCCGTCCAGTATGTATTTTACTTCAATCGTGAAGGTGTTTCTGATAATCGACTTTTTCGTGAGTTAATGACACGAAAATAAAACCGACAAGTTGCCTTAGTGTTCCCAGTTTTTAGTTAGCAGCGCAACTTACTATTAACCATAGCACGTGAAATTACAAATTCACTGTACAAATGGTCGACAGTATGTTTAAATTATTGATGGAATCCACTAGTCAGTAATAATGTGTTCTCATATTTATTTATTTTTGGTCATACGAGCTCTTAATATCATACTCAAAGCTCATTTACTACAGACTTACTCGTGAATTATGTTTAGATATAACATTTTTGGCAAAGTCTATAAAATCTCCCGACCAGTTTTTATTTGGGGTATAGAGAATGTTATTTCTAGTAAGCCATGATATCATCATGTCGATTGAAGAGTATTTATACGGTTTCTCTGTGTAGGGGAATTTAGGTAAATGTCTTGCAGACCTCGAAAATGCCTCATTTGAAGCGAGTCTAGAAATGCATTTGTTCACTATGAATCAAATCTTTAGTCGGAACTCATTTGGTCACATCTGTTTACCTCCTATTGGGGGAAATAAAGCGTAAATAAAGTCTTTATAAGTCCATATTCCATATGAAATATAACATATCTTCAATTAATTAACCACTGAGTAGTGACTGGTGTCGTGTTTGTCTGGCCTCTTGGTATTGATCTCTAACCTTATCAATCAATCGGTTAGCAATAACTGCTGGGAGTTATGGGTCGATAATCTACTTCCAGGGCTCAACGTCTTGAGAAACAGCTTAACTGTCCATTATTCAGCAGCAATCAATGGCAGACGAGCAAAATACCCTATGAACTCAGGTCAGATTAAGCAGACTGACAAACAGGAAGCAGAATACGATGAGGAGTTTTGATTGCTCAAACCAACTAAGGTTTTATCTAATTTATGAATGAAATGTAATCTAAGGTAAAACTAAGAACCCCACTTAGTAACAACAGTTTAACTCTTTCATTTCTGTCTCTGATGCCCATTTAGTGTCTGCCAGTTCATCGAGAATTATCTAAAAAACAGTAGTCATACATGAAAGCACTAGTTTAAGTTACTGCGTTTTACAGTAACACAGAAAATCAGGAAAGATAAGAGAAATATTGAATCAAAAAATAGGAGGGGGTAGACTGACGTGGAAAAAAATAGGTTCCGAATTGTGAAAACCTTAAGATTTGAATATTTGGGATAGCTAATTAGAGTTAAAATTGAATCTTTTTTTGCAATCTGGAAGTGTATGTATGCTAGTTTCACATATGGGGCTGGAATTCTAGGTGCCTCAAGCTGTAGCTGGTAGCTGTTGTCATTATTTGAATGTTAGTCGAATTTTTCGCTCACCACTTTCCATTCCAATGTGGTCAGTAAAGAGAAATTAACATTTAACTCATTCACTTCACATTTTTATCCAGAGATAAATTTATTTACCTCGTTTTTTTAAATTACAGATAGTGTACAACAGTCTCTAGAGAAGAAGTTCGCTGACAAAATACCGATTACACCATCCGAAGATTTTCAGCTTCGCATTGCGGTAATTTGGTATTTTTGGTCTCCTGTTTTTGTCACGTTATCAGAATTAAAATTATTTGGAAAGTATGCTATCTTGTTATTAGAACATCTATTGTATGCAAATTCTTCCTGAAAATTGTATCCACATAAATCATAGCCTGTTAAAATATTTGTATTAGATCCAGCTTACATAAATAATCTATATGTAGTTGCGCCACACTCGAATTATATTAAATTTGGTTTGTTGAGCACTGTTGTTTAGTGTTCGGCGTGCTACAATGGCCCATACTTATTCAGTAATGGATTTTTGTCTCTTTAATATGTGCACACCTTGAGTAATCTATTAATAAAGTTTATTGTGCATGTTTGAGGCTGTTTAACTGCAGTTTCATAACATTTATCCACTGCAAATGACAATTCCTTGTTATACATTTTTTGAATGATCTACAAACTACGGTTTAATAATGTACTTATATAAACTTTGTAACGTTGAGGCTTCTTACTTGTAAGGTGACATGTCTTGATTTGTATCGTATTTGTGTAGCCTAATGTTGGATACCTAGTGCTAAAGTTACTCTTCTCAACTCAAATGATTTCAATTGATAGATCTTTGTAGTAATACTCTGTCAATTTTCGGGTTATGTCCATCTCTGTAGATCATCTAAAAGGATTGGGAGTTTAGACGGTTGGTTAGTACAGAAAACTTTTACAGTATAAAGAGTAAATCTGAAATAATGTTTTAATGAAATCGTTTTTGTCCGTCTTATATGTAATGATAAGTTTGCTTTCATCTGTTCCAGGTTGTCTGTGGAAACTAAACTATAGTTTGGGTCAAGGAGTTGCCTTTTAGCTTTAGGATAAAATAACTTTGATAGGCTTCGATCACATTTCAGGTTACCGGTGTGTATGACTGACAAGTAGATGAACGTAGAACCTAGAAAAAATATTAGCCGAAGTTACCATAACACGTCATAGTGAGATAAAATTAACATGATTAATAGTGAAACATTCGAAATAATAGTCGTATCAATTATAATGTAGAAAGATTAAACGTTGAAATACTTATTTCGAGAAGGGTTGAATTTGACGAATAAAAAGTTTAAAATAATGTTAAAGCTTACATTTAAGCGAGAATACAGGGCGGATGCATCTGTCCCACTTTGACCCAAAGCCGCCAACCATTGGTTTTGGTTATCTAGCGGACCTCGACCAGAACATGTGGGTCTGTCAACTCAGCTTAGTTTAATAGTCAGTGATTTCACAAACTGATGACATGTCTTTGGTGTGTCTATCCCTATTTCTCTGCCAGGCAATATCGCACTTCGAGGTGAGCTGTGATAAAACATACATAAAACATGCCACAGTCGTTCAAGATTCACAACCCCATCTACACTTAGTATCCTATGCCTAGTCTTACGATTTTTCACTTGGTCGTTCCACAATTAATGAAGAATTCTTTGAAAGCAACTATGGTCAAATATCCACAGCCTACATATGTTTTTTTACTCTCAAACCCATATGCCTGATTAAACTGGTATGCTGTATATTCGTCATTCAATAAGCCCGCGTCACAAGTAACTCAATCTGGCAAAAGCCAAGCAAGTTTTCGAAATCCATGTCGGAATTTCGTGCTCCTAAATCATAGAATAAACTGATCAATGCTTGCTGGATTTCAGTGATCCTTCAACGGTTTTTATTCCATAATCTAAACTATATTCGAATCACATAGTTGTTCTGTTGAATGATTTTGATGAGTCTAGAAATCTAACAAAATTCTCTTTAGATACAAATGTACTAATCAAGTTTTTAGTCAATCACTGGAATTTACAAAATTGAATACATATTTTGTTACTCATAGCCTCGAAAACTGCTGAGCCCTTTAAATGAATATATAGATCTGTAATTTCTAAAGCTTTTTGATATCCCCTATATTTGATCGTATTGATGTTAATATGATACTAGTTTCAATTCTCATACTTTATTTTCCAAGACACTTGCTTTTAATACGATGATCCACTTACAGAATACAATGGTCAATTTGCATCTTACAATTATCATTATTTGTACTTAATCTATTTTTTTAAATTCAATAATAATATCTAGTTTACTTAATTTGCTTTTACATTAACACTTCAGGGGGCATCTGAACGCGATATTGTTCACTCTGGTCTGGAGTATACTATGGAGCGATCTGCTAAAGTAAATTGACACCAACTTAGTTTTATAGTGTGATTCAGTGTGATAATTACATTTAGAACAATTATTTCATGTTTTAGATGTCATCATAATATAAGTACCATCCAATGTATTACTGATTGATATCCGGTTAATTAATAGTTCTACGTCTATCCTCCTTATTCTTTAAATTCCGAAAGGTGTAGTTAAAGCAGATGATCAAGAGTACTTAAACCTTAGTTTTTTCTGTTATGGCTTCTGCCCCTGTCAATTATCACGTGACAAAACCGTTAATCAGAATCCCGAATTATATGACCTCATTCCTGTGCTAAACTAGTGACATGTCAACCAGCACTAGTAGCCTTGTGTCAACTCTGAATCTTCAGTGGTCCTCAAAATAGTAATTTATCGCATAGCCCTGCCCTTTGGGTCTAGAACACAATCTCAGCCTCCACTGTATGGATAATATATTTCAGACATACGTAGTTTATATACAGGCAAACCAGACCACACCATAAAATAGAAAATAACAGTTATACAAGATTAAACCAAAAGTGGCTATGAGTGTAAGAGACTAATTAATCGATTGGTAATAATTTGAGAATACTAAATCGTATAATAGTAGTCAATAGGTCAGATGAAAGCTTATGATAAAAGGAACATGAATTTACAAAAAACACTATTTACATAATAGTTATCCAATAAGAATATATGTGATAATGGTCCATAAATAATTCCTAGCAGTTACCACTCATTTATTCTTCGTTCGGATTTAACAGTTTCAGCCCTCGTTAGGGATCAAGAGTCACTAGCATAACTGCAGCAGAAATTTATATCGTTAAAAGAAGTCACTCACTCATTTCTCTGATTAGGCTATTTCGGTTATTTTCATTGTACAGAGTCAAGATAAATAGACTTTGGAAACAAAAAGATATATTTGAAAATATGACTTTTATTACATTTTACGCTAAATAGACTGATATTTCATGTTGGAATATGCTTGATTAAGCACTGTTGAATCACATTTAGATGTCATCTTGATATCGTCTGACGTTTGGGTCTTGAACATTTATTTCATTGGTTATCGGTTATAACTCTAGTATGTTTGGTTTTGGAGTTACACCCACACACTAGATCTCAAACATTCCTCCTTTGTCTATCCGAGATTCAACTAAACCAATATGCTATCGTAGTTGTATCAACGCTGATATGAACATATACCAAAACACAATTGCGTTTTATCAGCCAACCACTCCTAGTTAATTAGATTTATTGTTTCAAACATGAAAGCAAAATACTAAAACTGAAATATTTAATTGATCATTGTTTGATCTAACATGATGTACATTGTAATTCTATCAGAGCAGTAAGAAGATGTAGTTGATGTCAAAAATGTGATGTATTTGCATTATACGTTACAAACAATATGGTCACATATAATTGTCAAAGCAGTCATAAAAACTAATGAAATTCAGTTGGATAAAATGTTAACTTTCCATTCAGTCAGTCAGTAACAACGTAGAACTTCGTACGTACGTACATGCCACACCACATTATCACAGAGATGCAGTTGTCGAGTCAGATCCCGTAGTGGTAGAGGTGGCAAGAGTATAAGCAGTAATCGGAAAGATTAGGGTTTGGAGATGTTATTTAAAGAGTATAATCCAGTGAAATAAATTTATCAGTATATTTTAGTCATTACATCAGATGTAATGTTCACTGCTACTCTGTTATCACTTCAAGAGGTAATTATCAATCTCTCTCGCGTTTTACATAGAGTCCATTGTGTTATATCCTAGTTAAGGTTACATTACTAGTAACGTCTGAAACCTATTAATGGACTAATATTACTAATATATTCTTATGATGTAAATATTCAGTAACTAGATTATGTATATCTATATTCCCCTTGTTATAAGCTTTATTTCGACCTATATATTATTATTGTACGATTTACTGTTCTTAAGCTATGTTCAGTTTATTGACTACTGCCTCTCACATTCACAGCCACTTTTTGGCTTTATTGTATATGAATGTTATTTCCTATTTTATGCTGCATTGCGGTTTGTTTGTTTGGTGTATAAACCCAGTATGTTTGAAATAAATGATTCGCATAGTGGAGGCTGTTATTGACATTCTGGACTCAGCTGGACGGGTTAGGCGAGCAACGGACCAATAGGACGCTAGGCTGATCAGACCGTTCGGACGTCATTGACTTAGTACAGTATAAGAGCGAATAAGTCGTATTTTGATTGGCGAATAAATTACGTGATAACAAGCGGCTCATAAAGTCACAACACATTGGTTTAATGGAAACTAGTTATTTGGGCGAAAGTAAAATAAAATCATTATTTCATTTAATGAAATTAATCCTATTCCCTTAGGCATCTTTACAGTCGCTATTTCTCCGGTTTCATAATCAACTAATTCTAAAGAATGTTTTATAGATATTATTTCTTGTTGTTAATATACTTTACTCGTTTGTTCGTAATTTTAATTTATTTTTGTAATATTATAGCGCATCATGAATATTGCGAATGCCTACAACCTTGGATTAGATGTTCGTACAGCTGCATATATCAGTGCGATTGAAAAAATATACAATGTCTACCTGGAATCTGGCTTTGTCTTCACTTAAATGTATTGTGCAACTTCATGTCTTTATGGTCGAAATTGCAATTACGGCATAGTAAAAAGGAACTACACATCATTTGTATCAATAAAAGATATTCAACTGGCAGTTCTTTTATGTAATCAAAATAAAATATCTTTTATAGGTATTGGAAGTAATTTAGTTTTGTTTGTTTACTAAGATATGACAATGTGTTCAATTTTTTCTAACTTTCAAACGTAGTCACAACTTCAATAATCCGTATATATATATATATATATATATATATATATATATATATATATATATATATATATATATATAAAGCTTAGCGAGTATCAGCGAAGTCACATTTGAAGGAGAAGCACTGGAAGAGGTGTAAACTTTCACGTACCTGGGAAGCATCATCGATGGATAAGGAGGATCTGATGCAGACGTAAGGGCAATGATTGACAAAGCAACGGATGCATTCCTACAGATGAAGAATATATAGAACTCAAAAAAACTCGACCAGTATCAAAGTCAGAATCTTCAATACGAACGTCAAGACAGTTCTACTGCACGGACCTGAAACTTGCAGAACTACTACAACCAGCATCAAAAGATACAAGTAATTATGAATAGTTGTTTAGTCAAGATACTGAATTTTCGTTGTCTGGATCCCATGAGCAACAGTTTATTGTGGGAGAGAACAAACAAGCTTCCAGTTAAAGAGGAAATTAGGAAAAGATGCTGGAATTTGATGGAACATACATTACAGAAATCACCGAGCTGTATCATGAGGCAAGTGCTAACTTGGAATCGTGCAGGGTAACGGAAAGGTAGAAGAACAAAGAGCATAGTGCACTGAGAATTGGAAGCAGACATGAAAAGGGTGAATAACAACTGGAAAGGATTGCTCAAGACAGAGATGGATGGGTAATGCTGTTGACCAGCAGCGGCCTATGCTCCTCCATGAGGGGTAACTGGCGCAAGTAGGTAAGTACATTTGATTGTCTCACAATGTGCAGATGATATTGTCATATGGTAGGTGGCATCTTGTGCGCGGAAAATAACCTACACATTCGATCCAGGCTGACGTCAGCACACGGAAGCTAAACATGAATTCTAATATTGGTTAGAATGAGAAACACGGCTTCGAATTGATTAAAGTTATTACTCTGAATATCCACAGCAGCCTTTATTAGCCAACTCGGTTATCAGAGTTTAGAGATATTTATAGTCCATTCTTTATTTAAATTATAGGCACCGAGGTTTTACTTACGCCTGTGTCCTCGTTCACAACACTATGACTTGAGATAGGGCATTGTTAATGCTTATGCCATTCAATGGAGATGCAAATGGACACCTTTCAATGCATTAAATGTAAGTTTAAAGATAACATCAAACTATGTATCTGAAGGTAAGTCACGATCAGCTACATGTTACAAAACGAATGGTTTTACGTTTATTCCTTCTGTTCTACCGAATGAAACTGGAACGTGTTCTAAAAAATGTCAGTTAGTCTTTACATGCGGACATTATGTGTGGCTATTTTCGAGGTTGGAAGCTACTGTATACAAATCGAGATTTTCTGTAAGCTGCTTTTCTCTCGTTCAAATAAATACTTCGTTTAAGACGCTTAGAATGTTTGCTTCGTTGATCGATCTTCTAAAGAGTTTTCAAGGACCTATTTTGAAATGTCATGCTTGTATCTAACATTGGTACGTTTTCCGAGTCAGTCTGATAACATTTAAGACATTTTCAATTCGCTTGGGGAAGAAGTATGTGTATAAGTCAATTTCGCAAACCACAATTACTCGTCTATACAGTCCTCTGTGAATACTTTTCAAAATCTCCGTGGAAAAGAAAGGAACTAGATTCAACCTTTGTCCAAAGGGAGAAAACTAGAAGTTCATTATCTGGTCGACTGGAGTTAGATTATGCGGATAAATCTCTTTACGAAGAAACCATTGAGAAATGAAATCTTATAGTTTGATCCAGTTTTCAAGATAGATCGAATACATTTTTGTTATAGCCCATAGCTGCCAATCAGAAGCAGCGAATTATCGATCGGACCAAGGACACGTAACACACGTGCGAGCAGCCTAGAGTCCTGCTTTCCGCCTAGCCCAGCCAGTTAAGTCCAGAACACTAGTCTCAGCCTCTGCAATATGAATCCTTATATTTCAGACATACTGAGTTTATATACCGATCAAACCGACCACAACGTAGCATAAAATAGAAAATAACATTTGTACAAAATTTGGCCAAATGTAGCTGTGACTGTGGGAGGTAGTGACTAATAGACAGGGCATAATTCAAGAATGGTAAAACGTGTAATAATGGTTCATAGGTCAAAATAAAGTTTATAATATGAATAGTTTAGTTATTTAACAGTTACACGATAAAAATATACGTTTAGTATTGGTCCATAAAAGGATCCAAAAGTTACCATTCAATATGTGTCTCGGGACCTAACAATTTCTCACATTCATTGAATCCCCAAAAATTATACCATCAGTAAAAACATAATACTGTTACTTTTCCTTCGATGAAGAATATTACTTTCTTTGTTAACTTGATCTTGAACAATTGTCTATGTAAAGAAGAATGTAAAATTTTAGTAACATATTCGAAGCGAAAATGATACTTTGTTGGTAAGCTTCATAATCATCATTGATCGACAATTTTTTCTGATCAGTTAGCTATAGTCATACCATCTCAGCTAACTACTTTAAAAATAAATAACCATCATATCAACAAGAGTAAATTTTAGTTACTTCATCATGTAGTAAGAACAATTAGTTCAGCAATGAGTTCTCTTTTCAGCGAATTCATTTTCAAAGCTGTACAATCGCAAATATATACACTTATTTTTACAGGATGATAATAATACTGATAATAAACTTGTTATACATGGTGATAGTGAGGTTAAATAAACAAAGATATTAAAAAAATTTAAAACAAGGAAAGTTTAAGAATGTTAGGATTGTTATTGGCTTAAGTATTTATCAAAAGATAGATAGGGAAATTATCATTTGGAAAGGATGGCTCAGCATGATAAAATCAAATGTTGAAACATAGATGAAATGTAATGGGAATTATTGTGGAAATAAAATCAAACCAGTTGGGCGTAGAAGATTTAAAGGGAAGATGGAAGGTGAAGCAGATGGCTGTTAAGGAACAAGAGTATGAAAAGAGGGAAAAAATTTAATACATTAAGTTCATGGTAGAAGAAGAGGTTTTACCAGTCTCTCTTGCACACATAATTCTGGTTTTTCCAGATGTATAGCTATTGCTTCGGCAACGCAGAGAAGATGCAGTCTAATTATCTTAGGAAGAGTTCTACGTACCTTGCAGATGACTTTGTACGCAGAGACTGTCTTGGTTGAATGACCTGTGTTCACAAGTTGTTCGATTATAGAACTTCTTATTGAGCTGTTGCCTCCTGTTTTTAGCCACGCCGAATGATGTTCTTGAATTATTTTGGATAAAGTACTCATCGAAATACCTATATACCTAGCTCTATAAGAGCAGGTAAATTGGTCAGATGCGATAATTTATCTTTCAGATTACTGGTGAACAATGATCGACTGGAGAATAATATTCTCAATGTTGCTGGGAAGAATGTTCCTTTTAAGGAATCAGAAAGTCTCCTCTTCATCATTTATTCTATAGTTTAACATCAATTTACTGACCATTTTGGTCTGGACCCATAAATGGACAATTGTTCGATTACTTCAGGATCTGTTGACAACCAGGGTATCACAAAAAATATATTTATTGCACACCAATTATTTTTCGCTTTTTATGAAATCTTGCAATTAAGTATCTTGTCAACTATTATCGGTTATTTTTATGATTGACATTTAGGGCAACTTCATTTCTGATGTCGACTAATACTTTCGTTTCCTCTCCTATTTCTTTTGGAGTGTAAACCTTCATTACCAAACACATATATAATTTTCACAGGATTAACTTGAAGACTTCACTATAATTTATGAACACTTAATTATTACCACAGTAATAATATAACTCAAGCCATTAGATATACCGATTTAATAATGAGTGATGTAGTCATTATAATATTTTCCAAGGTAAAATCAAATAAATAATACTATTAATTTATGGTTTTCTGGTAATCCATTTTTCATACTATATGATTAGAATTACCTTAATTGATCATATTTTTACTGTTCACTAGAAATTCGTTTGTTAGCAGCAAATGAGTGGCGTGACAATCAGCTGAATCAATATTTAAAAGAGGTAGAAGCTGGACTAACTTTATGTACCTTACGTATGTTAAACAAATATTTTGTAAACAAGAGACTTTTGTCCTCTTATGCACTATTACGAACATTACAACCGCCGTAAGTAAACGGCTTGTTTGAACAAGAAAACTAATTTTTCATACATCTGACTGTTTGCTTGATGGAATTGACCGTTTATAAGTTCAAGTTTAAGTTTGCTATCTATTCATAGTGTCCATACTATCTATCAGTTTATACATTCAAACATAATTTACGTGTTCAACAAAAAAATGACACATACCGTTACACCGTCGTGTAAATAAAGTTTATTACTTTTAATATTTAGCTAAAGTAAATAAATATATCTATTTCCGAAACTATCTTCTGAAAAAAATAGGTTAAAGGAATGAGTCACTGTAATCCAATATGTAAAATAGAGTACTACAAAACTTACGCAGCGACAAATAATTAAGCATACAGTTTACGTTGACTGTCGGAACAATTAAATGTGGAGTAGAGCAAATAATTACTAAAACATTATTATGGATCAGCTTAGTTTAAGTACGCTAATTACTTAATAACGACTAGTCAATTCGGTATTATTCCCTGTTCTATTGATAATTCTTCTGTCAGTTTTGTCATTTTTTATCGTGTAATAATAATAATTTATATATTCTGAAAATAATAATTACAGAATTCAAGTCAGTTTATAGGCATGATCAATTTGATATAAATATTAACATTAGATGTACAGAACAAACATGTGATAGAAGAAAGTTTTAAGTATACTAGTTC